CTCTATCTCTGTCTCTGTCTCTATCTGTATCTCCATGTGTATCTATCATTCTATCTTCATCTCTCTATCTACAAAAACTAGTACGAAAATGATTGTACCAGTATGTAATTATGTAATATGTATCTGTATCTGCGCATATTTTGCTGTGCATCTATCTATCTATCTATGTGTGCGCACGATCCAGGCGGGGCTGGGCCTTTCCGACCGGATTGTCCCTGAACGAAGTCGCGCGGAGCCTGGTCCAAGCGCTTTAGGGTTTAGGGTTATGTATCGCAGCGTCTCCTGGCGTGTGATGTTTACCGGCATGCGGTGTGTGGAGGGCAAGAGAGATTCCTTTCAGGCCCTGCTGTGAACTCCAAACCCTGAGCCCTAGCCCCTAGCCACTATTCTCCAAGGCCGCACATGACACCGTGAACCCCGGCGATCCAGCTCGCTGGCTTCAGCCGGTCGCGTGGCAAAAGCACCCTTTGCTTCTGAACTGGGAGGGCCAGTGTTTATTGACACAGGCAGACATCCTCAAGATAGACTTCGGTGTCCACGCTGCCGCCTAAGCAATCAGAACAGCCCACTCTAGGCTCTTGGACTGGCTGTGCTGTGGTTCCAAGGTTCAAGGGAACATACTCGACAGCGCCTTCTCCGTCAGCTTCGATCCCATGCATGATGAGCCAGAGCCTCTGAACCTCTGCTCCCGGGGCTGTCGTGCTGCCGGCGAGATTGCGCAAGGTTTCGGCTTAGCGATGGCTCTTGGGCCAAGCCGCCGTAACGAATGACGCCACAAAGTTGTCCCTTCTGGTCAAGTCGCGTTTGTTCCCACACGCTAGTTCGACGAGAGTAGTTCCTTGCCCGTGGTGGTCAGCTTAGATGTCGTTGAGACAAGTTCAAGTGTCGGTCGGACCCTTGTCGTGCCTTTCGTGGAGCTCTCTTGCTGAATCGAGTTCAGAGCTCTTCCATGTACACGGATGCGTATAGGGCGGGTCTGAGAGACCTCACCCTTTCTTACGACTCAAGTCCACTGTGGGGCCTTCGGGGGACCCAGAGAGGTCAAGCATCGAGAATCGGTTTTGTGCAGATCTTGGTTTCGATGCCCTCTGCATCTTCACCAGACCACGCTTGCTGCGCTCAGGCTCATGCGCACGGTGCAGGAAGCCACGGAGACTGGGATCAGGACTGGATCTTGGCAGAATCGGAGATCCACTGCTTGTCTCCTCGGTACTTCGACAGATTTCGGATCTTCAGTGGCCGCTCAGTGCCAACATCTTGCAGGCAAGACAAGCGGAGTTTGTCGGTGTAGCTGAAGGGACAACCTCCCAACCCCCCACGAACCTTCAGGCATGTCAACCCCTGTGCAGCAAGCAGCTAACCTAGGAACCTTAAAGTTTTCTAAATTCCTCAAAGTTCGTGGTTGTAGCTATAGCAACCATTATCCCTAAACCCTAAACCCTAATCGAAATATTGGGAGCCTAGAATGCCCTGATCTCGCGAGGAATGCAGGCCCGGATGCCTGGATTTCGGAGATCAGCAGCCAGATCCGCGAGGTGATGGAGTCAGGGGAGGCCGATTGCTCTCCCTTGTCACCCCATGTTCGGATTGAGGGTTCATGGTTCAGGTTTAGGGCTCCATGGGGTTTAGGGTTTAGGGTTTAGGGGTTTAGGGGTTTAGGGGTTTAGGAGTTTAGGGGTTTGGGGGTTTCAGGGTTTAGGGTTTAGGGTTTCATAGGGTTTTGGGATTTCGAGCTGTCACCCGTCTTCATAGCAATGTAGGGTTTGCCACCCGGGCCCGAAGAATGATCCGCAAATACTGCTATACCCCAAACCCAGAGAACAAGTCATAAACATGAACCGAAAAGCCCAACAGCCCAAACCGTAAACCCGATACCGATACGCCAAACTGTAAAGCCTTATTAACCCTAAACCCTAAACCCTAAACCTTAATAAACCCTAAACCCTAAACCACACCCTGAATCCACTGCATTCGGCCGGGTTCGCAGGTGCATCGCCCCGACGGTAAGGTCTTTCGAGTCAAGGCACCGGTGCGAAGATTGTACAGGGTTTAGGTTTTGGGTTAGAGGTTTGAAGTTTACGGATTTTGGGGATTTTGGGTTTGGGAGTTTTGGGCTTAGATGTTGGGGTGATTATTGTTCATATCCTTCCCATGAATTTCCTTAAACCCTAAACCCTTAACCCTGACGGGTTGCAGGTCATCAAGAACTTGACGGGCCACTTAATCGGACCCTACAAAATCCACGCCGGCAAGCCCGGGCCTCAGCTTGCGAGGGGAACCCTCTGCGGCTGCCTTGACAGGTTATGGAAGGGTTTAGAAGTTTAGGGTTTAGGGTCTAGGGTTTAGGGTTTAGGGTTTAGGGTCTAGGGTTTAGGGTCTAGGGTTTTGGGTTTAGGGTTCCTAAGCCCTAAATTCTACGCCCCCTGATATCCATATGCAGTGCTGTTGCACGCCTCTGATACCCAGTCTCTTGGTCAGGTGCCTTCGGGTTTTCTTGCAAAATTGACCCTACTGCCCCTTCTAAGCAGTCTTATGAGAAGCTCTGGTTTCAGGTGTCTCGCGACATGTTGCCACTTCAGATGCTTATCTACCCATTGCTACCGAAACATCACCGAAACCTAAAGCTCTAAACCGTCGAACCCTTGCCCTCAAACCCATAATGTCCAGTGCTCCTGAAATCGATTCCTCAAAGCAGAGACTTCACTTCACTCTTGGACCTTCTGGTGGCTTCTTGTGTCTCTGAATGAGGTCTCTCCCATCCGTGAACACCGGTGGCAGGGTGCGAACGGGGGGTCTGTGGTGCAGGTCTACAGTCAAGGTCCCAATCGTGTTTTGGAAGTGGAGGGCTGACGGTTGGTCTCTTGAGTGAAGTTGATTGGGAGTTCCCCGAATTTGAGGATGGCGGGTTGGGAGTTGTTGATGCCTTAGGTGGTTGAACTTATCTGGGTTGCGGTGTTGTGTGGCCAAATGAGTGTCGGCGTTGAGGCTGTCAGGACTTTCAGCTGAGGGAGGTTCTAGAGGGACGTGTTCGTGCGACCAGGCTAAGTAGTGGTTCCGCAATTATAGTGATTGAGTCCTTGCATGAAGCTAGACCCCAACGGCCCCCACACCTAGGAACGTTCAAGCAGTGCTAAGTTAGGCATCGTCCTTACATGTCTGCGCAGGAGCGCATGCTAGCTGGAGAGCTCTGGGCAGCAGGAGCCCCAGAATACGACAATGCCATAGTCGGAAGAGTATGTCCACACACGAAACTCAGGTCCAGAAGCGGAGTAATGAGGAAGTAGTCGCCGTGGTAGAGATGCAGGTCTCGTTATCGGTTGGAGCTGAAACCATGCAGGGGCAGAAGCAACTAAACCATGTTTGTTGTGACTGTGCTTCCAGAACTTGAGCCAGCATCGAATCATCTGAGATCTCTCCGAGGTTGAGACGTTTGGCTCGGTGGGTGGGCTGGGATACGTGGGCAATGGAGGCGGTTGCTGTGATGCTCCAGTGGCAAGGTCAAATGCCGTTGTAGCAGCAGCATCGTATATGCCATGCGAAGGTATATTCTAAGGGTTCCAGTGATCCTGTATGCGTGCATGGTACGATGTGATCACAGGTTTGGCTGTGTCCCCCTACATCAGCATGGACCAGGCTTACCTAACAACGATTGCGGACGGGGGAGGCAACTGCTCGCACTTTATGCGCTCGTCGGGCTCCGCGCCGGCGCAGTGGCAGAGGCATCCGAGCCCGTTCGAGCTAGTTGTTAAGGTTTACGTGTTCAGGGTTTCAAGTTTCGGGCCCATGGCCTAAAATCTAAAATCTAGACTTCAGGCTTTGGGGTTTCACGTTTAAGATCCAGTTCCAGGGCTTGAGAATGTCTGCTCAGATTCCCTTGCTAGGCTGCCGCATGGCATGGGACGCGTTTCGGGTCCCGCCATTTCGACAAAGGTTCGGTAAGGGTCCTAGTGGTTGTGGAATTGACGGCATGGTCCCCTCGTAAGCATGCACTCAGGCAGTGCGAGATGCACTGGCGAGACCGAGTTGAATATGTGTCGCTCACGTCCCCTACCTTACGCCTCCTTCTGCACAGACGGGCAGGTCCATTCTGAGTTCCAGTGCTGTGAACTTGTTGCAGCCTCAGCCGGATGCACCGTAGCAAAGAGGAGGACAGCTGAACGGGTCTTCTGGTAACCTGCTAGTGGCCCTTCTGCTTAGCTTTCTTGCCCCTGATACGGACCTTGTGGTAATTACCAGCTGGTCAGATGCAGGTTGGATCTCATAGATCAACGCTTCGGCACTCTGGCCTTTTGCCCGCGCTGGATTCTACAGGTCCGAGGCTCTGGCCATGGGGTGGCTCTGGCAGTCCGTCACTGCTCACCACGTGTCACGGTGCCCTAAGCCCTAATCCCCTAAATCCCTAAAGCCTTAAGGCCACTCAGCAGAAGAAGCCCAAGACGGCGACGCCCGACCAGGCATCACTGTTCCGCCATTGCAAAGACACTCGATCTCTAGGCACTCGAGATCAGGATTGGAAGCAGACAAGGAAACTGAACAGCTTTCTCCGTCGCATGGCTTGTAGTCGCGACGTGAGTATTGGCACGAAGGTGAGCGCAGTTCTGTGCACATGTGCGCATGTTTACAGGTTTGCGCACACACACACACACACACCACGCACATGGACACGGAACAGCACAAACTGACACCTGACACATTGTATGTCATGTATGTAGATGTGTATGCGTGTATTTACGTATGTATGCATGTTTGGCTCGTTTGTTTGTTTGTTTGTTTGTTTGTTTGTTTCTTTGATTGTTAGACTGTTCAACTGGTTGGCTGATTGACTGATTGACTGACTGATTGATTGCTTGATTGATTGAGTGACTTATTGATTGATTGAATGTATGATTGTATGTATGAATGTATGTATGGATGCATGTCTGTCTGTCTGTCTGTCTGTCTGTCTGTCTGTCTGTCTGTCTGTCTGTCTGTCTGTCGGTCTGTCTGTCTGTCTGTCTGTCTGTCTGTCTGTCTGTCTGAATGTCTGCATGTATGTATGTATGTATGTACGTATGTATGTATGTATGTATGCATGTAGACATGTGTGCGTATGTACTTCTATATACATATATATATGTATGCTTGTGTATGT